CCCCAAAACCCCAAAACCCCAAAACCCCTATTAATAAATTGCATTTTTAAGAATTCTGATCATATTAGCAATTGAAAAGTTATAATGATTAATTTTTAAGTAGTTCGGGTTTCAACAATGAAGCTGAAACTATTTCAGTGCTTTAAATTTCAAGCATTCAAACAATATTTCAACGAGTTTTGCTCATTACAAACCATACGTCCATTCAGCAATGGATATTAAGCAGAAGTATTTAAATCCGAAGCAATAACTAAATCTTAATTTTGAAAGTCATCTGAGAAGTAAGCAAAAATGCCTTAAATAAATATATCTCCGAAAATTTTGGAATTATCATAAACCCATTGGCAAACATCATAATTATAGGCATAAAGTTAGTTAACCTTTGTTAAGAACTTTGCATTCTTAATATCTAGATAACCAGTCCAGTCATCAGTATCATTTTTAGGAGCTCTTGTAACCACAATGTTGATTTTTAAATTCTGACTGGAATTTAGGTCTTGTCTACTTAGTATGATTTATCTCTCTCCTTTTCCGCAAAATTAAAAAGGCTGATCTCTTTCAATAATTGTATGAACATCAATATAATGATCAGGGTACATAGTATTCATCATAAGCTTCATTTTCTTTGCAAGTGTACTTTGATTCATGCTTGCACTCTGTTCATACAATTTATTAAGATTCATGCCTGAATAATATTACCAGGCTGTCAAAGAATAACTTATTGCATAATATATATCCCAATAGCCATCGTATTCATGTTTTTTATATAAATCATCAATTCTATTGATTGAATCTTCTTTTTCCTCATTAGTCCCAGAAGATAGCAACCAGAAATAAGAGATGTGCATCATTCCAATATTGACAGTATACAAATAAGCTGAAGCTAGATTAATCAATAATGGAGAACCTGCACTAAAATTATTAATACCATCATTATTCCTAAGCATCGTTGTAGCTGGGACACAACCCCATAATTTTCCACCTATGTTAGAACTCAATATGTCTATTGAAGCATATGAATTCTCATATGCATTTTTATAGAGTTTTTTCTAGTCAGCGCTGGCACCTTAAGTAAAAGCAATTATTGATAGCTTGAATGTATTAATAATATCTTCATAAGCTTTTTCTAATGATTTATCTTAACATTGAGATAACTCATAACTTTTGAAGGCTTTTAAATCATCAGCATTAATCATGCCTCTTATCTTCTTCAACTAATCAAGAGTTTCATTCATTTTTTAAATAGTTTAAGTAGGAAGATATCCATACTAGCTGGCTTATTTCCCAAGATTAATGAATTATGTTCTTTAAAAATCTATCTATAATATCAAATTGAACAATTGTTAGAGATTATTTGGTATATTTGGTAATATCTCTGAAATAGTAGTAACAATCACTCTAAAACTTTTGGTATTTTCAAGAATGATAGAGTCTATTGAAGTTTACTAAATTGATTGAGATGATGTCTAAGTGAATTATAATTATTGTTTGACATTCATTGAACAAGATAAGCTTATTATCAAGCTTGAAAGTAGGAGTATTAGTTTAAAAGTAAGATATTTGCTCATTAAGTAATAGTATTTTAATATAAATAAAATTATTGAGTCTTATATAAGCCTTAGATAGATAAAAAATAATTGAAATTCGAATATATCATTCCTAAATTTTAGAAAGGATTTGATCTACCGGGGTTTTGGGGTTTTGGGGAGATCGGAA